GGGTGCACATGTGTCTCCCCATCCTGAATCCCCCTCACCTCCTGCCCCACCCCATCCCTCTGGGTTGTTCCAGAGCACCGGCTTTTTTTTTTTTTTTTTTTAGTTGGAGGCTAATTACGTCACAATATTGTAGTGGTTTTTATCATACATTGACATGAATCAGCCATGGATATACATGTATTCCCCATCCCGATCCCCCCTCCCACCTCCCTCTCCACCCGATCCCTCTGGGTCTTCCCAGTGCACCAGGTCCGAGCACTTGTCTCATGCACCCAACCTGGGCTGGTGATCTGTTTCACCCTAGATAATATACATGTTTCGATGCTGTTCTCTTGAAACATCCCACCCTTGCCTTCTCCCACAGAGTCCAGAAGTCTGTTCTATACATCTGTGTCTCTTTTTCTGTTTTGCATATAGGGTTATCGTTACCATCTTTCTAAATTCCATATATATGTGTTAGTATACTGTAATGGTCTTTATCTTTCTGGCTTACTTCATTCTGTATAATGGGCTCCAGTTTCATCCATCTCATTAGAACTGATTCAAATGAATTCTTTTTAATGGCTTAGTAATATTCCATGGTGTATATGTACCACAGCTTCCTTATCCATTAGTCTGCTGATGGGAATCTAGGTTGCTTCCATGTCCTGGCTATGATAAACAGTGCTGCGATGAACATTGGGGTGCACCAGAGCACCGGCTTTGAGTGTCCTGCTTCATGCATCAAACTTGCATTGGTCATCTATTTTACATATGGTAATATACATGTTTCAATGTTATTCTCTCAAATCATCCTACCTTCGCCTTCTCCCACATAGTCCAAAAGTCTATTCTTTACAATTCTGTCTCTTTGGCTGCCTTGCATATAGGATTGTCATTACCGTCTTTCTAAATTACATATACATGCATTAATATGGGCTTCCCTGATAGCTCAGTTGGTAAAGAATCCACCTGCAATGCAGGAGACCCTGGTTTGATTCCTGGGTCAGGAAGATCCACTGGAGAAGGGATAGGCTACCCACTCCAGTATTCTTGAGCTTCCCTTGTGGCTAAGCGGGTAAAGAATCTGCCTGCAATGCAGGAGACCTGGGTTTGATCCCTGGGTTGGGAAGATCCCCTGGAGAAGGGAAAGGCTACCCACTCCAGTTTTCTGGCCTGGAGAATTCCATGGACTATACAGTCCATGGGGTTGTAAAGAGTCAGACACAACTTTCACTTCATGCATTAATACACTATATTGGTGTTTCTCTTTCTGACTTACTTCACTCTGTATAATAGGCTCCAGTTTCACCCACCTCATTAGAACTGGCTCAAATGTGTTCTTTTTTATACATGAGTAATATTCCATTGTGTATATGTACCACAACTTCTTTATCCATTTGTCCACCAATGGACATCTAGGTTGCGTCCATGTCCTAGCTATTGTGAACAGTGTGCACAGATGAGATACCAGGGAAGCCCTCAATAACTTTATCTTAATACCAATAATAAGCAAATCAATCCTAGCTCTATGCTGAACTAATCTATTGACCAATAGAGGCAACAATGTTAATATGAGTAACTAGAAATATTTCTTCTTACATAAACTTACATAAGCAGCTAATATACTGACACATGCATGCATGCTAAGTCACTTCAGTCGTGTACAACTCTTTGCAACTCTATGGATTATAGCCCGCCAGGCTCCTCTGTCTGTGGGAGTCTCAAGGCAAGAATACTGGAGTGGGTTGCCACGCCCTCCTCCAGGGGATCTTCCTGATGCAGAGCTCAAACCATAGTCTCCTGTGTCTCCTGCATTGGCACGTGGGTTCTTTACCACTCATGTCACCTGGGAAGTCCAATATACTGATAATTAACAGCAAATAAACACAACCCAAGATTATTCAGTAATTGTTCTATTAATCTAACACAGGCAGGCAATCAAGGAAAGATTTTTAAAAAGTAAAAGGAACACAGAAAACAAAAAAACATCACCTCTAGCACAACTAGTATTAGAGGCCCTGCCTGCCCAGTGACAACTGGTAAACAGCCATGGTGTCCTGACTGTACAGAGGTGACTGTACATGGCATATATGGTGTCCATGGTGACTGTACAGAGGAGACTGTACATGGTGTATATGGTGTCCATGGCGACTGTACAGAGGTGGCTGTACATGGCGTATATGGTGTCCATGGCAACTGTACAGAGGTGGCTGTACATGGCGTATATGGTGTCCATGGTGACTGTACAGAGGTACCATAATCATTTGTTCTCTAAATAAGGACTTGTATGAGTGGCCACATGAGGGTTTTACGGTTTCTTACTTTCAGTCGGTTTTCTGACCTCCACGTGAACAGGCAGCAATAGAAAAATAAAACAAGACCCTTTGGAGCTTTAATTAACTAACTCCCTAGAAAACTAACTAAACCACTAAGGGATAACAAATTTTTAATATGGGTTGACATTTTTGGTTGGGGTGTCCTCAGAGAAGAAAAATATCTCCAAATGATTAAAGTCTAGATTTATGAGTAAAAATATTATCCCTTGTTGATCCAAAAATTGATCAACAGAACCAGTTACCCTAGGAATAACAGTGCAATCCTATTCTAGAGTTCATATTGACAAAAGGTCTATGACCTCAATGTTGGATCAGGACACCCCAATGGTGTAACTGCTATTAAAAATGTGTTTGTTCAATGATTAAAGTCCTACATGACCTGAGTTCAGACCAGAGTAATCAAGGTTGTTTTCTATTATATAGTTCTTCCAGTGTGAAAAGACAAAGGGAAATAATGCCCATGTGAAAAAACTGCCACATATATATATACACACACACACATACATAACCAATTAATGATGTAATTTAATATATACAAAATATTACCCAAGAACAGAGTTTATTAAGGTGACAGAATCCAGTAATTGTGTAAAACTTAACCCTTTATAGCCAGAGGTTCAACTCCTTTCCCTAACAAATGTTTATAATTAACATCTTAATATTCATCATCTGCATTCTTTTAGCCATGGCATCTCTTGCATTAATTTAGCCAAAAATCTTAGGTTATATGCAACTTCCAAAGAGACCAAATATTGTCAGACCATACAGCCTATTACAACCTATTGCTGATACAGTCAAATTATTAAAGAACCACTATTCATCAAGGAACTAGCTACATCTTCCATTTCTATGCCAGTCCTAACTTTAACCCTAGCCCTAATCATACAAATGGCTCTGCCCATACATTATCCCCTCATTAATATAAATCTAGGGGTAATATTTATACTAGCTATGCCAAGCCTAGCTCTATGTTCCATCTTATGATCCAAATGGGCTTCCAACTCAAAGTACACATTAATCAGAGCCTTATGTGCAGCACACAATTTCACATGAAGTAACACTAGCAATTATTCCTCTATCAATCCTCTTAATAAATGCATCTTTAACCCTCTCAACCCTCATCACGAGAACATTTATGAATAATCTTCATATCACAACCCCTTGCTATAATCAATCTATTTATTTCCACTCCAGCAGAAATTAACTGAGCTCGAGCCCCCTTTGACCTAACCAAAGGAGCATCTACACTTGCATTGGGTTTCAATGTAGAATATGCAGCAGGCACACTGCATACATTTTTCTTAGCAGAATATGCCAACATTATTATAATAAATACTCACAATAATCCTCTTTCTAGGATATTCCACAACCCCCACATACCAGAACTATATACAACCAACTTTATTATAAAACACTATCAACAATATCTTTGCTATGAACTAAAGCATCCTACCCTCGATTCCCACATGATCAACTAATACACCTACTCTGAAAAAACTTCCCACCACTAACACTAGCCCCCATGCATATGACACATCTCACTACCTATTATAACATCAAGCATCACCCTCCACAAACGTAAGAAATGTATGATAGGGACTTCCCTGGTAGTCCAGTGATTAAGAATCTGCCTGCCAATGCAGGGGTCACAGGTTCAACATCTGGTCCAGGAACTAAGATCCCCCATGGCCTAGAGCAACTAAGCACATGCAGTGCAACCACTGACCCCACGCTCTCTAGAGCCCATGCTCCTCAACAAGAGAAGCCACCGCAATGAGAAGCTCAGGCACCACAACTAGAGAAAGCCCACCCACAGCAACAGAGACCCAGTGCAGCCAAAAATAAATCTAAAAAATAAAGACAAAAAGATTCTTAAAAAAAAAACAGTCTGATAAAAGTTACTTTGCTAGAGTAAGTAACAGAGGTTTAAACCCTGATATGTCTAGAGTCATAGAAATTGAACCTACCCTTAAGAATTCAAAATTCTTCGTGTTACCATATTACACTATAATCTATAGTAACGTCAGCTAAATAAGCTATCAAGTCCATTCTCTGAAAATGTTGGTTTATATCCTTCCTGTACTAATAAATGCCATCATCTCTATCATCATCCTAACAACCATTATCTCAGGGACCATAATTGCAATGACCAGCCGCCACTGACTACTTATCTGCATCCAATTCAGGCACTGGCTGTTTCTCCCACCATGATTTGGTGAAATCCTTATCACCCTTTAATTAGCATAAATGTCACTTCCTTGGGGACATCTTTCCTGAAATTTCCAACTAGGCTTACAGCACCCTGTGCTTATCACTATCATAACAAATATTTGTCAGCATCATTCTCCCTCCTCACTTGGCCACACCTTGTTCACAGCTGTGTCCCCAACACAGATGGGCACACACAATTGGACAATTGGGTGTTGCAACAAACCAGCCTCATGTATAATGTTCTATTCCTGATCTTGGCAGGAACACTACCTCAAAGCTCCATTTCTACTTCTGTCTCCACCTCAAGGACAGGATCCTGCTTTATTCAACCTTACACCCAGCACCTAACAGAGCCTGGCACTCAGTTACCCTTAGCAACCTATGTAAATCGTTCTGAGGCATTAAAAAGGAATGAAGAGAGAAGGTTCAATGTGATTTTTGCCCAGTAAGAATAGAAAAGGGAAACCATACCTTCAACAGGGCCGATTTGATTGGTCACGGCAAATCTGAGCACTTTTTCTTCATCCGAGTACAAGGCAAAGACCCGGTCAACATTCAGCTGCTGGGTGATGGGGACGGCCCAGTGTCTGGGGGCATGCCTGCACACCTGGTAAGTGATGTTCTGGTGGATGCGGTAGGACCGTGTTTGGTTGGTGGCACCAGACATGAGAGAGTAGGTTCTGGTACTTGTGGAGGTCACAGCTGCAACAGACATCATCCAGTCAAACAAGAAAATTTGCAAATATTAAAAACAGGGTTTTTTTAAATGTGGGTTGAGTTTCTTGGCACAGCTTTTATGTAGTTGCTGGAGTATGTCCCCCTCAGAAGTTCCTGAGTTTAAATGGGAACCTGTGAAGCAACCCCAAGAACCGGTGTAAAAGTAAAACCAAAGCGCTGAGATCAGGAGATGTAAACCATGCTGTCAATATTCACAAAGCATACACTATGTTATGTGCCAACCATGCCCAGCACTTTATATGCACTGCCTCAGTTACTCCTCACAGTAGCCAGTAAGGTGGACCCTGCCATCTTGTATGGAGAGCCTTACAGAGGTTAGGGAATAGTTAAGAAGTAGTCTAAGACACAAGGCTGCTAACACAGCGTGGTAACTGGAATTCAAGTTGGCCTGACTCGACTTCCCAAGTTTTCAGCCAATCCATCCATCGGTGCACCGAAAAGAAGCTTTCCAACATCTCACACTTAAGTCTGTGGGCTTCTGGAGAAAGGAAGTGGTGGAGGGCGTCTTCTATCTCCACCTGAGTGCAGAGTAGGGAGGGCTGAGTGCTTTCTGGCCATCAGTCACCCTGTGCCCAGGCCAGGCCTCTGGCCCACTCTCTTCCTTGTGCCTCTTGCCTGACTTCATCATGGAAGAAGCAAAGGCACAATCAAAACCCTTGTGCTGCAGGACAAGAGCTGAGATCAGGGCAGCACCTTGAAAGCAGGTGGTGTTTTACAGAGCACATCACACCTAACACGTCACCCATGTGAGACAGACAGAAAGCGGGTTATTATTCTAGAGATGAGCAAACAGGTTCCCTGATGTAAGTGACCTTATTCCCCACATTCTTTAGACACATTATGACAAAAATTCCTATCTTCTGACTCCAAATTTAACAGTAGTTTTACAACACTGCAGCTCCAAACAAGGTTACGGAACAAGTATAAATTCCAATAATCAGTATTTTTCCATGGTCCAGAGAGGATGAGAGTTAAAAGCCATACATAATTATACCATCCCTTCCCACTCCGCAGACAGGGTTGTAACTGATTATGTTATTATTACTTGCAAGTACTGGGTGGGGATATTGATATCCTTATGTACAACAGCTAGCACTTTTCTCACACTAAAAAAATAACAAGAATGATCAAACCAATACTGAACTCATTTCACAGGCCACGCACTGTTCTAAGGACATGCAATCAGTCACATCATCTTCATAACTATCTTGTGAGATGTGTACCATCCCCATTTAACAGATGTGAGAACTGGCGGCATGCACCTGAGTCTGCGTAGTGGTAGAGTTCCTTGTAGGGAGCCATGTGGGCGGAGAAGTTTGCCGGGATGTGAGGCACCTGGCCTTGAATGTTGGTCTTAATGCTCAGGTAGTTCTCTGGGTCCAGCCCCTCAGCAGTTTGAGTGATTCGAACCCTCTCCTCTCCTGGGTAGAAAGTAACTTCCACGTCATGAATAAAGGTAGCACCTGGAGAGAAAAATAAAAATTCAGCACGGGAATGAAAAGAAGCATTGCATCTTTCAGCAATAATCACCAGTGCGTACTTCCACTTCCCAATTTCTGCTGGTGTTGGAGACAGTACCTAAGGAGATCTGATAACTAGGGTAAAGTACTATCAGCTGTTGATTTCATGAGCTCCTCAAACTTTCTGTTCAAGAGTGTGGTTCCATCCTATCCCATCTCACACTGCTTCTCTTTGTAGGAACTGGTTTTCTGTGAAAAATAAACCCCTATGAACATCCTTGACCTTTCTAAGGTTGCCAGACTTAATAAAACCAAACAAAACTCCTCAGGACACCCATTTGTATTTGAATTTCAGATGAATAAAAAACATATTTTTAGCATAAATTATGTCCCATACAATATTTGGGGCATACTTACAGAAATTATTCAAATTAATCATTGTTTATCTGAAATTCAAATGTAACTAGGTATACTGTATTTTATTTGTCTACTTTTGACTCAAGGTTTTATCAAACCTTGATTAAAAGCAAGACCCTACAAATGGCTATTGAGCTCTATAGCTCGAGGTGGGCAAAGAACTTCTCTCTCATACTTTATGTGCAATAAAGATAAATCCACTAGGGAACAAGGTATACTGAGGTGACAAGCCGAGATGTATTCCCTATACCCTTGCTATCAAAGGGTGGGCCTCAGACCAGAATTATCATCTCCTGGAAGCTCGCTAGGAAAACAGGATCCCAGATACTCCGTCCCCACTTCCCTGCACCTTTCCCCTCCCCCTACTTAATCAGAACCTCCCCTTTCCTGAGGCCCCAGATGATGTGCATATGGGTTAAAGTCTAAGGAGCGCTGTCTGTACCATTATAGGTGCAAGTCATCAACGGACAAGGAGGAAAGGCACCCCTCCCCATGAAGTGAAATCACCTCCAGGTGCCCTAGAATTTTCACGTGCATCCCTATTTGACGGATATGCACATGACAATTCAGTCACATGGAGTGTGACACACAGGCTTCAACAAATGGGGTAAGAGACCATGAATGATCCAAATGGAATCATCCTACTTCTCAGAACAACCTGGAAAGCATTTAGAAGGAATCATTGGGTCTTAAAAACAGTCCTGCAAGGCCAAACCATCCCCCATGACCTCGGACAGAACAAGCCCACCTGTGTGGCTCTGGAGCAAGTGAATCCTCTTCCACTGAGTGGAAACCCAAGCCCCCATGCCACCAAAGCAGTGGTGACCGCGGCCTTGCTCACCTGTGAGGCTGAAGCCGTTCTCCCAGCCTGGTTTTTCTAAAGCAAAGAGCCAGCCAAATAGGCCTCCGATCGGCGTGAGTGGGAGAAGGGCCTGGGCAGCGGGCTGCGGGATGTGGCTGATGGCCGTGTAGGCTCTGCCGTCGTTGCCCACCACGTAAGCGTGCAGATCCACGTCGGTGAAGTGCACAGGTGTGTGGCCCACGAGGAGGTGCCCACTCACCTTCCCATTGACTCGATGAGGTGCCCCTGAGAGATAGCAAACCCTGTCAACCTTGACCATCATCCAGGCGCACAGATAAAGCCACCCACCAACTCCCCAGTCTCCATCTTCAGCCCTTTTCCCAACTCCTTAACATCCCACTGGCATCTAGGTACCAGACAGACCTGCCTTCCATCTCTCTCCTCCCATCCTCCCTCTCTCCCATCCACTTTGACTCTAACGCACTAGCAAAATGGGAAGAAACATTTCTGGTTAATCTTCAAATTGGGAAATTAGCTCACACGTGTTCATTCCTCAGACATTTATGGAGAACCTGCAAGTTGCTAGCACTTTGATTCAAATAGTAGTGACACAGTGTCCATAAGCAGAACTCATGGTGGCCGCTAGAAACAGCGAGTGGCAGGAACAGACCCAGAGCAGCCCCCTGCCCCAATCAAGCCATCAACCCTCACCTTCGGGTAGACAGTGCTTCCCGTTCCCGTAAAACCTGGACTGGCAGTGGCAGCAGAAACCCGTGGCATAGTCAGTGCAGAAGGCATGCCGGGAGCAGCGCTCGTGATTGTGTTCACAGGTCTCCTTGTTGGCAGCATTGTATGTGAAGACTGGAAAGTAAAACAAACTTGCATGAAAAGGACTAAGTGATTCTGATGCAGTGGCTGCCGAGCTTCATCATGGACACAGCATCTGCCCCATAAAATCCATTTAGAGTGTAAAAAACAAATGCAGTTTTGATGAGACAGGGATGACATTCAACGCAGGGGGAATGAACTTGCTTGGTCTTCTGGCAAGTAGCACTGCTGACTGCTCGAATCTGGTCTCCCTGCAGAGCTGGTGAGCAAGGATGAGGCTGAGACCCTCTATGTGGGGACAGGAAAGCCAGCCAGAAAGTAGGTCTTAGGCTGAACTGTACAAAATGGCCATTTTCTGGGTCAAAAATGGCCAAAGGTCAGCAATTTTATATGGTTCAAACTACTAGCAATGAGTTTCTGAGAGGATGACCAAAGAGAAAAACTAACAAAGGCGGTCTTATGTCTAACCATTCTTCTCTTCTTTTTGGTAACCCTGAACTTGAGAGAGAATAACCTATCGCTTGTCTTACTACCCAGAATAAAAAAAAAAAATTGTTTTTCTGAAAGAGAAGAAGGGTGTTAAAGAAAGAACACACATACACGCACACCCCCTAAACAAAGTGTATGGGGAGGCAGGTCAAGATGGAGGGGAAGGAACAGGGAACCCAGGCGTGAAAAGTTCTGGGTCTTCACAGGGTTTCTTGTGGTGGGTGTCACCCAAGCGGGATGTCTGGGCAGTAGTGGAGAGCCTGACCACAGTCACCCCTCTCTAGGAAGCCATGTGGCCCCAGGTAGGTTCAATGCTCCAGTAGCTGTCCTTCCATCTCCCGCTTATTCTGCCCATTAAAAAAAGAAAGAGGACCATTTGTGCTGCCAAGAAAGAAAGGAACTGGAGCAGATTCCATTGTCACTACAGCGAACGGCCCAGGAGGTGGGGTGTGGCCAGGGGTGCTGACAGACAAGAGGAGGCTTGGGGACGATGCCAGTCCCTAGCACGGCCACCGGGAGGCAGAGCGGCTGTGCGCACCTCTGCCGCCGCCTCCCCAGGAGCAGGAGTTGGGTGGAGACTCCCCGAGCGGACTGAGGAGGAAGGCCGGCAGAGAACTCTAGGGTGAGACTCCGTCACCGCTGTGAGGAACACAGATAACCTGCTCTTTGGAAAAACTGAGTGGCAGCTGCGTTCCAGGACTAAGTCTGAAAAGGAGGAAATGGGAAGGGGAGGAAGAAATGGAAAAATCAATACTTACCCAGTATTCCAGAAGAGAACAGAAGAAAAAATTGGGGGGCGGGGAGGTATACCACCATAGAAGTTAACAGTGGAGTCAGCATAAAGACTTGTACCAGCAACTGAGAATATAACAAAGTGAACACTGAAACAGTGCCTAATAAACGCCAGGTACTTTAAAGGCTAGGAACTTTAATTTTTTCAGTTTGCACAAGAGCAGGGACTTTTTTCAAATTCCTATATGCAGATAAACAAGTTCTGGCACAGATTAAACTGACTCTCCTAAAGTCACACAGGTGGCCAACGTGGGATCTGAACCCAGAGACACTTGCTCCAGATTCTTAACAGCTGGACCTGACCACCCGCCGGTGGGGCCCAAGGACGTCTATGATGAGAGCTGGTCTATCAGAGGAGCTGGTCAGGTAACTAGCGTTAATCAACATAGGCTTGGACCAGTAGAGTTTGAGTCACACTTCATGTATCAGACGGAACGGGAGAAGACAGCAGAGGTCCCCCAGAGGGCTGTCTCACTGACAGAAAAGCACAGGTAAGAGAACTGAGTAGCAGGAGTCACTTGTGGACAGTATTTGACTGCTGTTTACAGGTTCCTGAGAAAGCAGCGAGCTGAGGGTTGGCAGGACAGAAGATCTTGACTCAAGTGGAATATCTGACTGGGAACAGAAAATAAAGTTGGTGAATCAAGATTTGGTACTGGGCCTTGAGGACATGGCTGAGAAATTCCAGTCCGTTCAAAATAGAAAACCAGGCATCACTCTGAACATTTGGAAAGAAAATTAAAACAGGAAAGTGACACAAAACTCAATGCAGAAAAACAAAACAGTTAATAAAAGAGATTGTTAACAGGTGGCTATGAGGAAAAAACTGTGCATCCTTATTTACCATTGGTCTAATAAGAAAGAGAGGAGGAAATCCCAGTTTGAGTAAAAATAAATGAATGTAACTTGTCAAAATCTCAGATTTCTCCAGCTCAGAAAGTCATGAGTGAGTGTTAAGAAGCGGGCCCTGGAGGGACTGGCATACGTGTGTGTTCACGGCCTCAGCTACCATCAGGACCCTCCTCTCCCGGAGCACAAGACAACTGGGCGGCAAAGCGTCCCACATCTGACACTCAACAGCAGCCTGGCTTAGATGGCTCCGCGGGAACCACAGAGATGCAGAGTCTGTTTCTTCCTCTCCAAAATCAGGATGACCCCAAACACACACATACCCCTCGTCACCAGAAATCACAACGTTTCTTAGCGTACTTCTGGATGCAAAGGTGAAAAGGTGATCTGATGCAGGACTAAAGGGTAGTCATCTTCAGGAAATTCAAGTTAAAAAAAAGAAAATTGGTAAGATGAACCTATTTCCAGGGCAGGAATAGAGACGCAGGTGAGAGAAAAGGTATGTGGACACGGGAAAGGGTAGGCAAGATGAATTGGGAGATTGGAATTGACATACATACACCACCATGTGCAAAACATAGCTAGCGGGAACCTCCTGTAAAGCACAGGGAGCTCAGCTGGGTGATCTGTGATGACCTAGAGAGGTGGGATGGGGGTGGAGGGAGGCCCAAAGAGGAAGGAGATATATGTGTGTGTGTGTATATATATACAATGCTATTTCACTTCATTGTACAGCAGAAACTAATGTTGTAAAGCGTTTGTATTCCAATTTAAAAAAACACTGTTCTGCCCTCAAATTAATAACTTATGGGTTTGTATTCAGTTCAGTTGCTCAGTTGTGTCCGACTCTTTGCGACCCCACTCTTTGAGCCTGCCAGACTCCTCTGTCCATGAAATTCTCCAGGCAAGAATACTGGAGTGGGTTTGCCACTTCCTTCTCCAGGGGCTCTTCCTTACCCAGGGATTGAACCCATGTCTCCTGGATTGCAGGCAGATTCTTCACCATCTGAGGCACTAGGGAAGTCCTACAGATGTATAGAGTTGGGTTAATTGAACTAAACTACTAGGTGGAGGCATGGCTATTCTTTGGGTTAAAAGAGAGGCTTGATGGTGTAGCCAGCAAACATACAAATGCAACTATGCCAAAGCTTAAAAGTTTATGGGCACACCATCTGCATGTTTCTAACAAAAAATAAGTTAGGCCCCCATGAAAGTCTATAACATGACTGAAACTATAATTATAATGGGTTAGCTACTGGTAGGCTGGTTTGGGGGTCTTTTAAAACTGTGTATGTGGGGGGGAGGGGAGCTGCATGCTCGGATGGGACTTGCTGAGCCAGGAATACAAGTTGTGCTTTCCAGCCCATGCAGGCCACGCAGGGGGAACATGGGTATGCTCCTGGTCAGAGGAACATCCGGTTCCTGTACCTGCCTCCATGTGCAGATAAGCATATGTAATACTGACAGTGTCAACTTAGGTGAAAGGCAAACGCTACAATTTTCTTTCAATAATTCAAACAAGTATTTACCAAGAACTCCCTATGCGCCTGGCCCTGGAGTAGGAACAGCAGGGAACAAGAGACACAAAAATTCCTGTCCTGGACTTCCCTAGTAGTGCAGTAGATGGGAATCTGCCCGCGTTGCAGGGATGGGTTCGATACCTGGTCGGGGAAGAGTCCACATGCCTCGGACCAGCTAAGCCTGTGCGCCACAGCTACTGAAGCCTTCGTGCTCTAGAGAGCCTGTGCTCTGCGGCAAGAGAAGAAACTAGCAATGAGAACCCTGCACACCTCAACCAAGAGTAGTTCCCCCTTGCTGCAACTCGAGAAAGACCTCATGCAGCAACAAAGACCCAAAATGGCCAGAAATAAATTTCATTAAACAAAATAATCTCCTGTCCTGAAGCTTATATCCCCCTCCCTAGACAACAGTCAATAGACAGGTAAATTATTCGGCATGGTGGATAATATCCACTGCTACGCAGAAACTTAAGTCAGGGAGGGACAGGAGGGTGAAGGTGACTTTGGGCAGAGGCCTGGAGGAGGGGAGGATGAGTGAGGCAGGCACGCCCTGTCAGGAAGGCAGGCATGTGGGAGAAACGGGGGCAGGGAGAGGGGAGAAGGCCGGAGAAGTAGCCCTGGCCACTTCTCTCCTGTCAGGCCTGGGAGGTCAAGGGGAGGATCTGGGTTTTAGTCTGAACGAGATGGGAAGTTGCTGGAGGGTTTGGAGCAGAAGGGTGATGCTGTGTGGGAAGGGGGCGGTGGCTTGGTCGCTGGAGGTGCTGATGGAGGGGATGGAGAAGAGACCAGATCTGGAGTGCTGTGAGGTGGAGCGGCCAGGGTGGGCTGATGGACTGGATAGAGGGAGAGAAGAGGAGGAGGAGTGGGGGGTGAGGTAGAGAGACGGGGGGCGGATGGGGAGGAGGAGAAAGAGAGGGCCCCACAGGGATGTTCATTTCCTGGCGTGGGAACTGGAAGGCTGGAGCTGCGGCTTCCTGGAGGAGGTCTGTGGGAGGTCAGTTCTGGCAGCACCTTTGAGGCACCTGGGAAGCTCCACTCTGGCTCTGACTGGGACTTACACCTTCCACACGGTGCCAGGCAGAGGGAACGCTGCCTTCCTTCCTATGGATTCTGGGAACCACTGCGTCAGAACCACCTGGGATCCCAACTAAAAATGCAAATTCCTAGGGCACACCTTTGACCTACCAATTCAGACTCAGTGGGTGGATCCCAAGAGTCTGCACCTTAGCCACTCCTGGGGTCTCTTATGCCCATGGATGACAATGGTCAGCATATTTGCAAACCTTCCCTTTCTGAATTGGAGAATGCTGTTTCATGTAGTGAATGAATTTCATCTGACCAATTAATTAGCAGCTCCTGGAGTGGGTGGGATTTCAGGGAATG